GAGAGAGAGAGAGAGAGAGAGAGAGAGAGAGAGAGAGAGAGCGCTCCAGCAGTCAGCTGAGGTAAGCGCGAGGGACGCTCAAACAAATTAATAACGAAACTCTCGGCGGCAGGCACACAAGCACACCAACACACGGACAGGACTAGTCGGTACAGCGCGTCTGGGAACCACTGCTGCGGGAGAAAATACAGTGACAAAATATTTCCCCTAGTAGTTTGGTTTTAGAAGGAGCACACACCATCCCAAAGATAGTTTTCCCCTCCCTCCCCGCCCCCCCGCGGCCCGTGTCGCCAGTAATGTCTCGGTGCCCGTAGTGTGTTATTAGACGCGATTCGATCTCTTATGCTAATGCGCTATAAAGGGAAGGGCTAGCCGGGCCAGTGATTCTAGGAAATACGACTCGAGGGTGCGAGGACGGGAGAGCCCGAGAGCGATTGAACCATTAGCAGATCGCACGTGTCAGCGCGGTGACACACTCCAACCAGTGTACTTCACACATTTCTCTGTGACCGGCCGTGAACGGCGGCGAATTTTCGAAAAAGGCCACCGCGAGATTTACGCCAGGCCAGCCGCACTGGCGTCAGTGCGAAGCAAACAAACAAACACTTTGAGGCCGCGCGAACGCGAGGCGAAAGTTTGAGCGGTTGTCGTCGCGTGGCTCGCGCCGTTGGCGTGGCGGCGTGCTGTTGGCGGGTACCTGCAAGCGACACCCGCCCGTTCAAAGGCCACGCCCACGCCTGCGAGGCCCACCGCGGCAAGGCCTCTAATTGTTTGTTGACAGGTCATGTTTAGGAAATTACAGAGGGGCGCCCAAGCGACAGGCAGAGCCGTCCAGCCGTCCAGCGCGGCCCCGGAGCCCAGGCCCTTCACCGCCCGGGAACCTTACGGGAACGCGGCGGCGCCGTTCGCGCGAAACACAAGAGAGGGAATGCCACAACAACACGGGATAGTTGGAAGGAATGACGCGGAGCGAGCGTACGAAGGCTTCATAACGCAAGCCAGTCATTAAAATGGTTCCAGGGATTTAGAAGGTCGAGTTTAGAGGAGGGGCACATGTAGTCATAAGACACGCGTTGATAAGGGATAAGGGTGCTTCACGCCCCGACGACAACCCGGCCACGCCCGGCCGCCCGGGGCCCCGGGGCCCTGACCTGGACGAGATGATAAGGTGTCGGGATTGGCACCCTTTGGACGTTTCACACTGCTCTGTAATTACTCTCGCAGCGACACGCCGCCATACGTTCGGAGAAAGAGGCGACTTTGACAAACCGGAATTACCGCGGTCAAGCCTCCGGCCCGGCCAAGAGGAAGTGTTCCCAGCCTCGTTAACCGTGAGGGACAGGGGGAAGAGTCAGAATTATGAAAAGTTGACGCGGCGGGATATATGAACCGAACATTATCTCTGAAACGCTTACAATGAGCGGACGAATCAAGAAGTTGAGGCTCTTACTTCGTTCGTATTTATCTGAAGGTGTGATGCCGGGTACAGAGAGGGGAGCCGGGCGTGTATGCTACGAGGTGCCGGAAAATGGAGAAGGGGAAAGAGAGAGAGAGAGAGAGAGGTGCACAGGCCGAGAGGAGAAGGGGGTCCAGACAGGAAGCGCTGGGCACATGGAGATGGCCCTAGATACGGCGGTACCCGGCTCCAGGGGCCAATACGCCACGCCACGCCACGCCGCTACGACGGTAGCGCCTGGGGCGGGGATCTCCACAGTCCACACCGCGCCGCGTGCCGCTGCCTCCACCCTCGCAAACTTTGAAATTAAACCTTGATCAACCATTCCTGGAACCGCCCGGAAAGCACCCCTGGCAACGTGTTTTGGCTGATGCTTGCCGTCGGTAATAGACGCTGCTCTTAGTAGTGGGAGAGGGGAGGGGTGACACACAGACATGGGCGTGGCGGTTGTGTCGGCTACCGTATCAGCGCGGCAGCATCGGCTGTGTCATCTAGTATCAATAGGACGCTCGCCCCATCTCTCTCTCTCTCTCCTCAGTCGATCGCTCGCACCGGCGCCGCCGCCAGGGCCGCCCGCTGCCGTATAACTTCCTTATAACCGGGGGATAGGGATTAAGAGGAGCGAGCGGGAGGGAGACACTTTGTTGCATCCAGCCAGTGGGGAGAAAAAGTAGAGAAAAATACACGCATAAAGAAGGGAATGCGCATTGCAATAGTCTGACCGCTGCTGTAACGAGCTCGGCTCAAACGTGCGGGCCGCGGAGAGGAGGTCTGCTCGCACTCCCGAGGCGGACTGTACCGACGGGATGGGTACCAGTGCCGCGGTGGCCACTCCCGCACGGTACCCGAGAGTGTGTTCCGACATGACTCGTATTAATCTGCGGGCATTTCCGGTCCAGCGCCGCCCGTCCTCCTCCTGCGCCTCCAGGGACACCGCGGCGGGGGGCGCGCTGCCCAAAAGGGGTCAAGGGGGTCACGAGTTGGGTACAAATCCTGTTCAAATGCAAAAACCTGACCCACCAAATGCTTTTCCCTTTCTCACAGCAGCATTGGTGTAAATCGGGCTCCACGCACCCGCCTGCCTTCTAAGGGATCAGCCAAAAAGAAAAAGAACGTCCGTCATTCGCCGTTACAAACCTACCAAGTTCAGCCTCAGCAAGTTCGTCGAGCGCCTGATTGGTAGGCAACATCTCGCCAGCAGTGCATGCGTGCACTGCGTGGTGGCCTACCCTGTGACTCGCAGGCGCCCAGCTTCCGTAAATTTGCCGAATGAATCTTACCGAGAAAACCGACGTACTTTATGGACGATCCATAAGCAACATGCTCATACACCTTTCATTAGTGGTTGCCTAGTAGGCAGGCGTAGGGGCCTCGCTCCACACACCACTGTAATTAGGCTCCTTTTTGCCTATACTTTTCTGGCATGGCTTCGTGAATAAAAAAGGACAAACTTCGTTGGAAAAAAATAGCAAATTCTTAAGGACTGTTTCAATATAAACAAAATACAATTTTGCCAAACATTCCAGTAGGAGCAGCAGCGGCGGCGGGATTGCGCGATCAGCAGGCGGCGGCGGCCAGGCGGTACTGACATACCAGAACAGGGAGAGGGTAGCGACGATCAATAAATATCGATACGCGATGAGGGAGAGAATAACACACACACACACACACACTCACACACACACACACTCGTGTGTGTTCCAGCAGTCGTAATCAGAGCGCGACACAACAAGCAGCTCGCGATATTATTTGGGCGATATCGCAGCTATAACGCCCACTGTTTATTGGTGTGCGAGTGCGAGTTGTAAACAAACGAAGTGTAGAAATTTCGTTGCAAGAGACAGAAAAAAACAAGCAGGTTTTGGCTCTCGCTTGCAAAAGCAAAAATTCAATCGAGATACGAAACCACGCGCCAGAGATGCCACTCTACTTCCTCTCTCTACACAGTTGCAAGACTTGCTCCTCTAC